AAGTAGAACACAGCTCATGGCGACGAGACCAATATCAATCAAGGTGAACATCTCATTGAAGTAGGTGTCTACACATACCAACTTCAGCATGGCTGGGATGTCACAAAAGATATAGCTTACCTCGTTCCGTGGTCCATAGGGCAACTGAAAAGTCAGGGTTGTCTCTAGGATTGAATGCAAACACTCACCAAACCAAGTGTCCATAAAAAGCCAGAGGCAGATTTTGCGGTTCATGAGGATACTATAGTGAAGTGGCCAGCAGATAGCCAAGAAATGGTCGTAGGCCATCACGGTGTAAAGGAAGCATTCTGTACAGCCCACAAAATGATAGCAGAAGAGCTGAGTTATACAGCCTGCAAAGGAGATGACTTTGTTGCCATCCAGAACGGCAGCTATCATCTTGGGCACCACAATGGTGGAGGCGGCAATATCCAGAATGGCTAAGTGGCAAAGGAGCCAGTACATCGCCTTGTGTAGCCGAGGCTCATGGATCGTGGCCAAGAAGACCAGGAGGTTACTAAGGATAGTCAACAAGTAGATGCCCACAAAAAAGAATAACAATGGGACATGTAATATGGGTGGGTATGGGAAACCCTAGAGTAGACTAGACAAGAAAAGAAAGTAGAATTAAAGACTGGGATAGGATGGGGTGAGATGGAATGGAATGGAATGGAATGGAATGGAATGGAATGGAATAGAATAGAATAGAATAGAATAGAATAGAATAGAATAGAATAGAATAGAATAGAATAGAATAGATCAATGCCTATATTTACATTTGTACTGTATTTTCATTAATGGATATAATGATTTTTTTCTCTTGTGGCTCATGCCTTCCTACCTCAGGAGGCTTTCAAATGTTTTGAAGATGTTTATATATGTGACTATTTCACTAGCATTATGAAATTAGCCAGTTTCTCTCCTCCAGATCCTATGGGATCCCATGGAAAAAGGAGGACCTGACTCTGAAGGATGATATTTATTGTCCCCATGATATTCCATCCCAAGGTTGGGAGCCCCAGAGCTCCGTGAATTGATTTGATAGTATGTTGCATTCACTATTTGTGTTTCAAAAACATCTCAGGAAGACAGTTCAGTCTGATCCACTTCAATAGTGATGCCTCAAATGGTGTGCAAGGATCCTAGCCTTCAGTGTGACCTTGAGGAGCTTCTTCCTATTCGTCACACATATCATCAGACTGGAGACATCAACATTGCTGGCATTATTTCTGCATTGTTTACATTTTCTACTCCCATTGATTTCAGTCAACATCCTTCTGAGGCACTTCAGGATGGACTTATGTAAGTATATCATCAATTCATTGTCAAGTTCTAGACCTTGCTGTTAAATCACATGATGTTTGAAATGTTTTCCTGTAATGACAAAAGCTCCAGAAAAAAACATATTCGGTAGGATAGGATAGGGTAGGGTAGGGTAGGGTAGGATAACAAAATTATTGGAGGTTTTCTAGTCCAACTCCCTGCTCAAGCTGTAGACTCTATACCATTTCAGACAAATGTCCAATCTCTTCTTTAAAACCTCCAGTGTTGGAGAACCCAGAGCTTCTGGAGGCAAGTCATTCCACTGATTAATTATTCTGACTGTCAGGAAATTTCTCCTTGGTTCTAGCTTACTTCTTTCCTTGATTAGTTTCCATTCATTGCTTCTTTTTCTCCCTTCAGGTGCTTTGGAGAATAGCTTGACCCCCTCTTCTTTCTGCCAGACCCTTAGATATTGGACATTGCTGTTTATTCAATGTGAAGTTATATATAGCTTCAGTTTCCCCATTAAGTTGAAAAATGTTTATAATAAATCACATCTAAATATAACTATAGAGGTATGAATGGCTTAATTTATGAAGATGTAACTACTGCTAAGATCTGGGGAGTTGGATATATTTCCCATGATATCTTTTTCATTTGATATTTCTGGTACCAAAATTCAGCAATTTCTTTCTGATATAAGCCATTATGAAAAGCTGAGGTTTGATACTGGACCTTTCTCATATTTTCAGAAATACTGCTTCCAATTTCAAGCCAATTTTTATCTTAAAAATAACTCCACTTCCTTTAGGGGTATATATGAAGTAGTGTTACGTTTTGCATTTTCCAGGATTATTCTTAGTTGAATAATCAAAATATGGAATTAAAACACTTTCCATTAAATGTTTTGTATTTAAGGATTGCAGGTGCTGTGATATGAAGCAGACCTTTCTTCATGTGTTTCTTTACAGAGTATTTTTTCAGAATTACCAGCATGTCCTAGCCTTAGCATTTTCTCTAAAAGAGATCAACAAAAACCCACAGATCCTACCCAATGTCACACTGGGCTTCCATATTTTTAACAGCCATTTTAGTCCAAGCTGGACCTACTTCGCCTCAATGGTTCTGCCTTTCACTCACGGCAAATTCATTCCTAACTACAAGTGTGGGGTCCCAAAACCTTTGGCTGCAGTCATTGGGGGACCAGATA